TGTGATGCAACACTGAATTTTCAGCATCATTACTCCAGTCTTCAATGTCACACGATCCTTCAGAAATCATTGTAAAATGCTTAGTGCTTAAGAAACATTTTAAATCAGTTGTTCTGTTTTTCTTTCAAATATATTCTTTAAAGTATTGTGTGTGTGTGTGTGTGTGTGTGTGTGTGTGTGTGTAAACTGTGGTACATGTTCAGAATTCTTTAATCAAATAGAATGTTCAGAACTGTATTATATAGTTATGTAGTTATTGTACATTATATAGTTTTTTTGTCACTTTTGATCAATGAATAAAAGCATACATTCTTAATATGTATACAGTATATTATATATTATAATTTAAATTATTAATTATAATTAATAGTTATAATTAATATAATTATGAATTATACTTTTTGAGAAGTTGGATTTCATTATAATTTAACACTATAGTGTGGGAATGATTGGTGAAAAAAAAGTAGCATATATGTTTGGTTTTTAAATGGATGGTAAAAAAAATATATGTCAAATACTAGTTGGTTAACAAAACAGGAATAATTTTTAAAGGGTTTGGGCTTACTAAAATGTACATTATAAGCCCAGTTATGGCTTTAAATCTTATAAAAAGTCTTATAAATAAAAAAGTCTTTTTATGACAAAACATATGTGTTAAGATGTGAGATTAACTTTGATTTAATACAAATTTAAAGGCTATTCACGTAATAAGTCAACACTCAATCCCTGTACATTCTGTTTTTAACTCTGTTTAACATGAGTGTGTCTGAAGGGCTTTGAGTGTGTAGTGCTGCTCTGTTCTTTGATAAGGATACAAGAGCATAAGTATTTTACCCTGATAACAGTGCTACATGTTGATAATTACAAAACAATTTTTTTTATTAATTAGAATATAACATTTGAATAGGTGCATATGGTAGAACCCATAGTAAGTAAGTGCCAAGGTACCATGTTATTTCCATCTAATACCATCAGTATACCATGGTGCCATCTCAAAACGTAGTTTCCAAAATAATACCTAATGTATAAACTATAACATTCTATTTTAAAGTAAGACATCAAGGCCAAGTCACCAAGAAAACAAATTAGTACAAGACGTACATGTCCTCATATCAGTGTTTATGATTAAGGGTGTGTGTGGTTGCATAACTGTTTTAGGACCAAAGCGACACTTGGTATTTTATTAGTGTAAAATAACTGGGTCTTCACCTCAAGACATGACCTGTGTGTCTTTCTGGCCTGTATCTGCCCAGCGACTGTTCAGACACACACACACACACACACAAAACATCAACATGGCTTGTTAAACACACAGGAATGACCTACGGCCTGTCCACACCTGTTCCTGTTTCCAACACGATGCTGTCACTGACCCGTTCATACAGTATATCAGTGTTATAAAATAATACACCACACACACTGAATCATGTAACATTGTCTTTTTGTTTTTTGCAGTGCCAAAACCTCAGATCAGGAGATGTTTCTCTTTGACTGAAGAAAAGTGGAAAATGTGACTGTGCCAGTAATTTTAGTGATAATGTGAAATAAATATTTCTTTATTTCTTTAAATCTATTTTTTATTCCTACTTAAAAAAAAAAGTGAAAAAAATTTTAATGCTGAACTCATTTTTGAACCTCATAAAAGCTGCACAATATCTCAAAATATCTCTGTTTACAGGAAGATATGTTCTGTGTAAAGTAATGGCACTTCTCTGCTTGTGTGTGTATGAGAGGCGTCTGCTCAGATAACACATTTACAGGAATGTGTGTGTTTGTGTGTGTGTGTGTTGTAAGAGGTGTCCAGTGGAATCTAATGAGTGAGGCTCAATGGGAAAATAAGGTCACATCACTTGACCTGTCGATCTGAGTGTGTGTGTGTGTCTGTGTGTGTGTTTGTGTAAGAGTGATGTTCATGACCCGGTCTCAGGACACAGACTGGAGTCAGTGGTTTATGCCCTCAGAGGTTTGTAGTAGGACACTGAAAGAGGTTCCCACAGGGATCAATCATAAGCAACGCATTCTGAAGACTGAAACCTCAGCGTGATTTTAACAGCCTGCAAAGCTTAAAGGTTTCTCGACCTGTGCCAACCCTAACCTGGAGGATGTCAGTTAAATTTGTTGCACCCAGAGACACTTGTAAATTGAGGGAGATATTAAACATGACAAAGGACCTGTCAGAACATTTACTAGTGAACCTCAATTTAAATCTCATTTTGCATGAAAATTTGAATGCAAATTTTGTTCGTTTGTAATCCATGCACCACATAACAACATGGGTGTTGAACAGACTTAATTTAAACTTAATTTTTGGTCTGTTCCTATACGAAAGCATTCAAAAGGCTTGGAATATAGTGCATAAGTTGCATGGACTACCTTTTCCTGCATTTGCATTGTTTTTTAAGCTTGAAAACTCCCGCCCTCATTGATTGTAAGTGCATGGGCAAAAAGTGCATGGGCATAATTATAATTTGATTTATTAAAAACATATTTTGTATTTCACCGGAGAACCTGAGGGAGAGTAAGTGATGACAGAATGCTTGTGTTTGGGTCATCTATTCCTTGAATAGCACAAACAAATAAGAAATATTAAGCATGCTGCTCTTGTTGACAGCTTCATGAATTCGGTGTTAAGACAGAGAGAGCAAGTTTCCATAACTGTGTGTTCCTCGAATCAAATGCACCTGTTGGGAAGGCCACCTCACATTACAGATGTGTGTGCTAGAGAGAACGAGCGTGTTAGAATAAATAGGAGGAAAAGGAGAAGTAGCTTGTCTAAGGAAAGAACGAAGCAATTCTGAGAACCTTGCAATCTTCTTCCTCTGCGTCGAAGCTTGTAGATCTGATCCTCCCTGTGGAGCTTTAAACGTCTCTTATTTAAAATCCCTCTATCTGCGTCTGTGAATCCGATGCAGGATAAACACTCGCCCATCAGCACCCCTGAGAGGCATTAAAATACCTTTCAATGTCAAATTCCCCTCCACTGTTCTGACAGTAATAATCTCATTCTGGCTTCGCAGATGAAAACACGATGTTTGTCAACTCTGATGATTGCAAGGCAGGCAAATATAGCCATGAAGTGATTAATCGTCCGGCACGTCTCTGCTATCAGGTAACCCACTTTGAACTAAGGGGGATGTGGACTAAAAATAACCCCTCTCCCCAAACCCCCAAGACCTGTCAGCTTTATGTGAACCTCATATTCTCCAGACCTACATCACCGTTGAGTATAATTACCCTTTTGGATGTTTAAAAAAAAAGGTACCTGCTTCATTGTCTGGGAATTTTTTTCTGTTGTGTTCTGCCCGCAGGGATCTGATGCTGAGCGCTGGCTGCTTTAAGAGTGAAATCTTTGGACTTGGTCTCTCATGACAGATGTGTCCAAACTGAGGTAATGTGTCTGTCAAAGGTCGTCAGGTTTTACGGTTTTGGCTGCTAATTGTAATTGAAATTGTAAAAGATTCTGAAGCCAATTTGATTTATTTGAATGACATGAATTTATAGTTTACATTGACACTGTACTTTTAATGGTATAGTGACAAAAATGTATTACTGTTTTCTTATTTAGTCATATTATTCTAACACGCATAGTATTTTACCATAAGCTGATTTAGGCTTTCTTTACTCTTTTTTTTATTACAGTATCAAGTTAACATTTTGAATTGTACAGCACACAACTGCATGTTTGCATGCATACTGAAATCAGTTATTAGTTGCAGACTGTGTATGTGAGTAATAATTAACCTTATTTATTTATATCTTTATTTATATCTTGTGCGCAATGACAGTTTAAGAGAAGCTTAAGAAAATCATGTGTGTATAGGAAAAACAGGGTTGAGTCATATTCATCTGATAGCTTTGACGTAAGAATGACGTATGGAAATTGCACACACATGGGCTGATACAAATCTAAGTGGAAACTCATTTGACCGATCACTCAGTTTGTTTTCCGGTGTAGCCCAACACCTTTGGACAACAATAGAGGTTGTTTGTTATGGAAAAACCTAGGATTGGATGCAGTTATTTATATTTCTAAAATTTACTTAATTAGTTTTACATTTATTTTATATATTATGTATTTGAAATAAAATATCATATATGTTATTATATAACATTATATATAAAACCTATAATAAAAGCATTATTAAATAAATAATACAATATTTAACGTTTAACCTTAGATTTATCTTGTTCAAAAATATTTAGATATTTTTTATAAAAATGCATATGGCTCACAATATAGTGGCATAATTTTGCCTATGATGTCTTACAAAACATACTGTGGTTGTACAATGGTGTACTGACCTCATCAGATGAAAGTTACTAAAAAGAATGGCATGTTACCAATTCTAAAAGCCACAGTACTTTTTTCTTGCTTTTTTAAATGATCTGTAGCTCTCGTTTTCTATGCATCTAATTGTTTCTTGTTTTCTTTTTCCTCTTCTTCCGTTTCCTCTCTTGCAGTGACGTGTGTGCAGTGATCCAGAGCGAGGGAGATGACAGCTGAGTGGGTTGACATGGCCACCCCAGACAATCTGCTGTTCCTGGACACAGATGCTGTCAACTCTTCCTTCGCTTCACCGCCCATAGAGGAAAATGAGCCCACTCGTGCCACGGACAACCAGACAGATGACAGCTTTAGTTCAGTCCCTGATCAACACCCTGATCCAGACTCAGGAAGCTCAGGATTAATGCCAGTTCCGTGCCAGGATGGGACCATTGAGATCCATAATACAAACATTGAAAGGGAAAATGAGAGTGGTTTAGTCTTAAGACAGCCCCTGGATCACACTGCAGTGATAGAAATGAATAAAAGTGATAACTGTGACTTCAGTACTGCTGCTATAATGGAGACTGACAGTATCACAAACAGTACTAACATCCCTAACCTAATTCACCTATTGGACAGAAATCGAAATGACAAACATGGTAACTCAAACACTAAAGCGGATCCAAATGAGGCTCATGGCACTTTAATGAGTCCATTATTAACAGAACACAACAGACAAGAAGAAATGAGCCAAGACACCATTTTAAACCAATATGCCTCTTTTGAGAGCATTGGACTTGATGTTAACCCAATGGCTAATGATGATGGTCCCTTGGTAAATACTGTCTCTAATGTAATGAATGGTGCAAGCAATGAGACTGATGCAACTTCTTCTGAAACCCTCATCCAGACTTGCCAGGATACATCTGAAGGTGTTGATGTAGCAGTGGAAGCGGCGACTGCCTATAAAACTCATCCAGAAATTCATGACATTGCAGAGAACTTGACATGTGGACCACTGGCAACTGAGAAAACAGATAATTCTGAGTCACTTTTCCACCAATCCATGCTTAAAACCTCACAAATTGGTGAAAAACATGAGAAGGATCTCTCACAAGTGATCCCTTGCCCAACATCTGTCACGAATAGAGATTTAGGTAAATGTTCTGAGGAGATTGATGGTGCTTGCTTAAAGTTCACAAGAATGGAACATGATGTTGAGGCTGGTAGCGAGTTGTGGCTGTTTCTTCTAGAGTCATATTTGACAAACTCATTACAAAAGTATGGCTCAAATACACTCGCTAACACTTAAACATTCACCACCCTCCTCATACGTACATGACAGACAGCTGTGGCTGCTGAGGAAATGTGAGGTGCAGAGAAAAATACTGATAAACAGGAATGCAGACTAATTATAGAGGGTGGCGGATGATAATAGACCAGCAAGAGCAAAAGAGGAACTGGAGAGGCAGTGGGTGAGGGGCACGAGCACAGCTGAGGGGCAAAATACGACCCCTGCTCTCAAACTCAGTGTCATACTGTACGACAGTTTCTCCAATCCCACAGACCCCTGAGATAGCGGGAGAGCTGTGATTGGTTCACTTACGTTACACAGCGGCTGTGATCACTATAATAGAGATGACCCCTTCTATTGGTAGCCATATGTGGCTGTAGACTGCAGCATGAAAGCATAATGGTTTTTGCATTAGACAGACATTCGCCTCTGTGAGGTATGTAAACAAACAGCTAAATGTAGTTTGGATGAGAATAGGCCTAAATTGACTTGTCAAATGATACAAATGCTTCAATTCCTATGCTGTCTGCCTCTGATTTCTTCTGTCTTCTCCATGACATTTAATGTTTTTTCTATGTTTCTGTGTTTCAGTTGGAAGGAAATGCGCTGGTGGAGGTGACCGGAGACGAAGTTTCCCAACTCGGGTTGGTCTTTGAGGAGGAAAGTCAAAGCAGTTTTACTTCTCAAAGGATCTCAGTGTGCACCAGCGACAAGAATTTATTAACTGACTGTGTGAGCGGCGAGGAGTGGCGTCACGGCTCCAATGTTGCTCTCCACACATGTCCCTCTCAATCGAACAGTCACGTGTCTTCTGAGACGGGACGTGCTGAAGGAAATGAAACTTTTGTGCATTTTAACACTGAGGAGTGCACTGTGAAGCCAAAAGAGGAGGAAAGAAATACATTTCCACAGTTTATTATGCCGTTTGCTCCACTCAATACTGGAAATACTTTCCTCCACACACACACACACACACACACTAAACATATACCTGTGTGAATTACAATTTTCTGCATTTAAAGAAATATTATTTTATTAAATGTGTATTTTTATTAATTATTTTATTTTTCCACTATTTTCTACTCAAATGCCATAGTAGTTTATTGAAAAGTCCACAGGATGATCTAGATCTTCCATCTAAAGGGATTATTAATGAGATACATATTAAGAGTGATCAAAAATCAGTCAGTAGTGACGATTCGTCTGAAGATCGCTTTCATACATGCCCTGAACAGTCACGTGTCTTCTGAGACGGGACGTGCTGAAGGAAATGAAACTTTTGTGCATTTTAACACTGAGGAGTGCACTGTGAAGCCAAAAGAGGAGGAAAGAAATACATTTCCACAGTTTATTATGCCGTTTGCTCCACTCAATACTGGAAATACTTTCCTCCATAGTAGTTTATTGAAAAGTCCACAGGATGATCTAGATCTTCCACCTAAAGGGATTATTAATGAGATACATATTAAGAGTGATCAAAAATCAGTCAGTAGTGACGATTTGTCTGAAGATCGCTTTCATACATGCCCTGACCACTCTTTATCTTCATCTTCAGATGAACCTTCCATCAAGGACACTAAAAGAAAAGCCGAGTACAGCGATACCTGTGATATCAGCAAAGAGCTTTCTAAGTTAATTTTACTCACAGGACAGCATTTTATGGTGTCTGAAGACAAACTTGTTGCATATGTCACTCTAGACTTGGAAGAACCCAATTTAAATAATTTCTCATTGTCAAACTACGAGGAACGACCCAAAACAGACAATATGCCTCACAAGACTTCCAAAACATCCTCAGATGGTAAAACACGCTCTAAACATAAGGAGAACCCAGCTGAGAAGCAGCAACATGGGATTCAAACATCAAAAAAGCAAGATCTTCAGCCCCCATCCCAGATGAAAGAGGAATTCAATTCAGAAGGAGATGGTTGTGAAGATCGGCCAGTTACTGTCATTGAAACCATCGTCATCACAGAGAAGATCGCTCCTAAAACCCAAGGGAAGAAGAAAAAGAAGCATGCACAACACGGGACACCAAAACCCGAAAATGATCCACCAAGTGACATAGGGAGCAGAAGCACTCAGAAGAGCATGAGTGGCAAGACCGAGAACATTGTCCTGAAGGTAGCATCAAATGGTCTGGATAAACCAGCACCTCATCTTCCCGCTAAAATGGACGTTACTAACAAAGATAGCACTCAGAAAGTGATTTCAGTGAGACCCAAAGCAGAACCCTACTTTGGCAGCGTAAATGCCACTCAGAAAGCCACCCCTATAAAACTCAAAGTAGATGCTAGTAACACAGCCAAGATGGAAAATAAGACGTGCACCTCTGATTCTCTGAGCATGTGTTTACCCAGCATGCTGAATGACGACATCAAGCGCAGGCGAATCGCAAATGACCTGTCTGGAGCAGTTCCGATAAGGACGAGGCCACAGCTGCCCGCTATTTTCCGCCAAGCAAGAAAAGATGGAGAAGATACGACCCGGAGATCTTACAGCGAGGTTGTCAAGCAGAAGACTCCAATACCCAAAGAAGGTTCTCCAAATGCATTCCTGTTCAACTTCAAATTAGAAGTCAATCCAGTAGAACAGGGGTGTCCAATTCTGCTCCCTGAGGCCCAATGTCCGGCAGAGTTTAGCTTCAACCTGCCAAAAAACACTTGTCTGGAAGTGTTCTAGAACTTGATTATCTAGTTCAGGTGTGTTTGTTTAGGACCCAAGCTAAACTCGGCAGGATTATGGCCTTCAGGAACAGGAATGGACATTCCTGCACAGGAACATTTTATATTTTTACAGTATGCGTTCCTGAGTCAGAAATGTCAGAACCATGCAACTTGACCCAGTCTGATGTGGTTTGCTGGTCTTAGCTGGTTTAAGCTGGTTTAGCTTGTCTCCCAATCTAATTAAGGTGGTTTTAGATGGTTTGCCAATTGGTCAAGTGACCATAAATCTCTAAAACCTACAAAACAGACCAGCGTAATCAGCTTGACTAACTTAGGGAGACCAGCTAATCACCTTAGGCTGATTCGAGTTGTTTTTGGGGTGGGATACAATGGAATCCAGGGGCCAGTTGCATAAACTGCTTCTTAAAAAGTTACTCATCTAATTTTTTTTCATGAAAGTCAGTTTTAAAAAGGGAGAACGGACTGATTTGAATCCAGAATGTAAGTCTGAGTACCTCTTGGCTAACAGTTGGTCAAACTAGTTCTTAAAGGGATAGTTCACCCAAAAATGAAAATTTGATGTTATTTTCATTTTTGAGTGAACTATCCCTTTAAAGCAGCACTATGTAACTTTTTTCGCTCTAGCGGTTAATAAACAGAACTGCACACATCCCGCGGAAGAACATTCCAACCAGAGCTACTTCTCCAAGTTTATGTCTATGGCGATTCACGCAGGTATGTGTAACTCCGCAGCGGTGACGACCCGACCAGGCTACAATAGTCCAAATATAAGTACTTATTATAAGTGTACCGTAGTGATTCGGGATAAGACAAAAACGCGGTTTGGAAGATGAATTCATGATGTACTCGCTCATTATATACATTTTGCACATTCTGAACACAGAAAAAGTTACATAGTGCTGCTTTAAGGTGCAGTCTTAACATAGCGTCTATGTTTATGCAACTGGCCCCAGCAGGTTTATCAAATAAATTCATGCAAAAAGGGCTATAAATTATGCATTTTTATGTTTTGGTTGTAGTGGTTCCTATAGTCTCAGAGATCCAGGCTGACCCAGTTCCTGCTGACCCCCAGAACATCTTGCTTTGGTGCAAGTTCAATCCTGTCCCACCTGATGCCACCATTAAGTGGACTAAAGAGGGAACAGTGCTGTCAGAGATAAACAAAGTGTAAGAAAACCCTCTTTTACTATCAGCCACTGCTTCATCCTTATCTACCTACATTATCGTCTGACTCTGGTCCAAAATTAAGTTTCCAAATGGAATTATTTAACTGAGATGGTCATCATTATACTGTAGCTCTTTTACCACTTGGTGGCACTCTGTTCTTGTCCAAATCTGCTGTAAATTTTGGCAGAGACCTGAGTGAACATCAGCGCTCTGGTGATTCAGCCATGACTTATAGTGGGAGCGAAATGAACCTTTTACATAACAGAGTGATTAATTCCTACTGAATGCTGACTGTGCCTCAGACACTCTCAAACAAACCTCTGCAGTCCAGAATGGTCCTTCTGAGATGTTTTTTAAGCTGAAGTTTAACTGCAGGATTCAGAAATGAACATCTGGTCTGCATAGGCCACTGTGTTTAGTCTCTAGGACCCTTTGCCCAGATGTGTGAAGAATGATTGATTCACTATAAATGTTCAGTTAAATGTTTTTCTATTTTCTGTAGAGAGAAGGATGACGGCCGCTTCACTTTGACAATCCTAAAGGCTTGCAGTAAAGATCTAGGGCTGTACAAATGCAGCCTGAATGCTGCCAACATTTCTGTTTCGACCTCAGAGTACCATCTCACATCTGAGGGTAAGACATAGAAGGCTGCTTTCCCAGACTAATGATTAAAGAGGCTATCAATTACCATTGTAATTTGCTGAAGTACTCCATGACTAAGCAGAAAGTTAAAGCAGAAACTCATGCTCTGAAGTTTCAGCAGGGTGAATGAGGTAATAGTCTTAAAGAAAGCCAGATAAAGACTTCTCCTGCTTCCAAAATGGCTCACTGCATTTAATACAATTCGACAGTTAATTAAGTACATTAAGTATGCATGTGTGCGGCATGAATACAATCCATACATAATACACTATCGTTGAAAAGTGTGAGGACAGTAAGATTTTTAAAAAGAAATTAATACTTTTATCCAGCATGGATTCATTAAAATGATCAAAAGTGACAGTAAAGACATTTATAATGTTAGAAAATATTCCTATTTCAAATAAATACTGCTCTTTTATACTTTCTATTCATCAAGGACTCCTAAAAATGTATTCGTTTCCACAATTGCAAATGTTAAGCAGCGCAACTGTATTTATTTTATAGGTTTAAGTTTGTCTCTCTTTTATTGTCTCCCTTAGGAGAAATTTGTCTTAGGCAACCGCGAGAGCAGATCAAACATACAAAAAAATAATAATAATAAAATAAAATATAAAAAGCATTTATTTGATCCAAAAAAGTAACATCATGAAATATTATTACAATTTAAATAGGTATTATTTTCTTACCAGATATCCTGTCTCATTTTGTAAATGATGTAATGCCTTTTATATGTCTGCAAAAGTAAGAACAAAAATAAAAAATGAAAAAAAAGAGAAATAAATAGGTATTTTCTATTTTAATATGCTTTCAAATGTATTTTATTCCAATGATGTCAAAGCTGAATTTTCAGCAATTACTCCAGTCTTTTGATCCTTCAGAAATCATTCTAATATTCCGATTTGCTGCTCAAGAAACATTTCTTGTGATATGATTTCTTGTGATATGAAACCATGAATAGAAAGCTCAAAAGAACAGCATTTATTTGAAATGGAAATCTTTTGTACCATATTTATTATTGCCTATTTATTAATGCATATTTTCTGAATAAAAACCATTAATTTCTTTCAAAAAAATGTTACTGACCTCAAACTTTTGAACAGAAGTATACATATTCTGAATGTGTGTCTGGGAAACGAATCCTCACTTTGTAAATCTGCAAACATGATATATTACACTCATTGACTCAACTGTGTCAAATTTTTGATTTCAGTGCTTATGGAACTAGTCATTCCGAGTCATGATCAGCCAGGTAAACAGACCTTTCGTTTCATGGTCTCTCTGCTGTTCCTATGAGTAGCTAAAATAGTTTGAACGGTATGCTGAATAATAGAGATTGTCTTTTATGAAAATCTGACAGGTGTATGTGTTTTAATGTGTTGTGAGTGTGATCGCTTAGTTTTACAACACTTCTCATCCTATTTATCTATCTCCCAGCTGAGCCCAGGGTTGTGGACGGTGATGAGGAGAACATCCAGTGCAGCCCGCTTCTCTTTAAGGAAGATTTCCTCTCAGATCAGTACTTTGGAGAGAATCAACCAGCGAGCATCGTGACTGAAAAGGTCCACTTTGGTGAAGGCATGCATCGCAAGGCTTTCAGGACCACTCTTAGAGAAGGCAATCTGCCGAGCTTCAACCCCGGCCATCCCTGCGTCCTGAAAGTACACAACGCCATCAGCTATGGGACCAAAAATAATGAGGAACTTGTCCAGAAGAACTACAGCCTGGCTGTGGAGGTGAGAGTGAATGTCTCTAAGGAGATGTTTAATTAAGAACTTAGCTTAAGGAGATTTGGGACTGATTCGTTTTTTATTTCTTAACCAGGAATGTCACGTGCAGAATACCGCCAGGGAATATATTAAAGCGTACAATAGTGTGGCCAAGTCTGCAGAATCATTTGGAGAGGTGCCAGAGTAAGTATAACAATACATGAACTTGTGAAGTGTACAAAGTACTGGGAAACTTCTACATAGAGTATCTGTATTGTTGTTTGTATTGTATCTAACCATAATGTAATTGTACAGTATGAGGTGAAAAAGTTTCCACATTTACTTAATAAGTCAACTTGCTTAGTGTTTGAATTTGACACAGCTGAACTTAAGGGTTAGCAAAGATTTTCTAATTGAAGTAACATCTACGCTACCATTCAAAAGATTTTTTAAATGTATAAAAATACAGTAAAATATTATTTTTAATTAAAAAGTGTTTTCTATTTGAATGTATTTTAAAATGTCATTTATTCCCGTGATGCCAAGCTGAATTTTTCAGCATCACTATTCCAGTCTTCAGTGACACATGATCCTTCAGAAATCATTCTAATATGCTGATTAGTGTAAGAAACATTTTTTTATTATTATCAGTGTTGAAAACAGTTGTGCTGCTTATTATTTTTCTGCAAACCGTGATAAGTTTGAGGAGTAGAAAGTAAAAAAACTGCATTTATTTGAAAAAATTTCCAGTTACATTATAAATATCTTTTCTTTCACTTTTAATCAATGTAATGCATTCTTGTTGAAAAAATGTTAATTTCTTTCAAAAAAAATGTTTTTGGTCAGTGCATATTTAACACATATACTACATTTTTATTATAAAACTTTTTTATATACATTTTATATTGCTTTCTTCAGTCTAGCCAGAAATCCGAAACTATTTCATGCTATTGATATTATTTTAAAGGTTATTGACATGCTTGAAATAGAACTATTAAATATTTGAAATAATATATATATATCAATTGAATGCATCCTTGCTGAAAGAAAATATTTTGTAAAAATTAAATAAAGAAAGCTAACATTTGAATGGAAGTGTACATTTCATAATCTAGGACACACTTTTTTTCACTATTTGTATTCATTAATTAAATTGTCCTTAAATTCCCAGAATCATCCCTATTTATTTGGTGCACCGGACGTCTAACGACATCCCTTACGCCACGCTGGAGAAGGAGCTGCTGGGAGATTTTGTGAAGTACTCTGTGAAGGACGGGAAGGAGATCAACCTGATGCGCAGAGACTCTGAGGCGGGACAGAAATGCTGCGCCTTCCAGCACTGGGTCTATACACAGACCGACGGCAACCTGCTGGTCACCGATATGCAGGGTAAATAATGCACAGTACTTCCATTCGACCATATATTGAACATCATGACATTAACAGTGTAACAAGAAGAATGTAGATTCGAATCCTGCAAGGAGTGAAGCATACCATTACAAATATTCTCTTTTATGTCCAGGTGTGGGTATGAAACTGACAGATGTTGGGATTGCCACCTGTAAAAAAGGGTAAATTCAGATTTTAAAATATCAAAAATGTACCCTACAATAAAAACTGTGTAGTTCTTATGAAAGCAGTAATATAGATTTGTATGATTGCAGCTATAAGGGGTTCAGAGGAAACTGTGCCACGTCCTTCATTGATCAGTTCAAGGCTCTTCATCAGTGTAACAGATACTGTGAGCTTCTGGGCCTGACGTCTCTTCAGCCCAAGCCAAAACGGACCGTCGGCCCGCCAAAGCCAAAAACACAACCCGCTCGGCCCCGTTCTGAACGGCAAATCCTGATCGCACAGAAACTCTGAATGTCTGCTTGTAGGATAACTAGTGTTGGCCGTTTTCTTGCTCAGGGACAAACGTGTTTCTGAGATGTTTCTTTAAATGTAAGATGACATTCATCTGTAAGGACAGTAGGGAGGTTACTTCTTTCTTGAAAGCTCTTTTGTGCTATTTTAAATGAGCTTATTATTGGTTTTTATTGAATTTCTTATATTTTTTTTAAGGGGTGAGTCGACTGACAATTGATATAACACTTTTTCGATGTAATATTTTTTGTTTAAACCAAAGAAATATCAGCTTGTGATAGTGTTTTATCCCGATTTGCTTGGTTGAAAAGTCGTGCCTGTGGTGCTGCAATCTGATTCTTTATTATTAGCCTACTGGCACTTCTGAATAACAACAACTTCATGTTATTATGATTGTTTGTTATAATATGTGCAATAAGTACTTAGTTTATCAAACTGCTAAATCTTAAATAGATATTTACTTTATGAGTGAGATTAATGTACTGTACAGCCGTAAAAGATTGTTAGACTTGAATGTAACTGCTGGAATTGAATGTTTGAAGCTTCTCATATTCAATGTTAAAATACTTTATTTTCACACGAATTTAGTATTTAATTTTTCTTGAATTTTTGAAGTTGATCTACGCTGTTTCTTGGAAGGAAGGATGAGGTGGTAAATCTGATGCTATGGAAAGGTTTGTACACTTGCCCAGTAAACAGCTGTTGATTTGCCTCAGTAAGAATGACAATCCTCCACCTTCACGTTCCCATCATCCTTCCAAAGTCAAATGACTTATTGCTTCATTGCTATATATAAGCACACACGTTTGAAGCCAAGTATTCGTCTTGTTAGTGTTAATGAACTGCACAAATCAATCACTTGAAATTAAAAACTGTGATGTTACCGTTGCTACTTTCTGCAAATCTAGATAGTCTTATCTATTAGTAGTCTTAGTGAATGTGGATTGAAGGTCAAAGATTATCAGATTCTTGGCTTGACCGAACCACATTCGTCTTGTATTGGCTTTGAATGATCCCCTCTGAATGGTGTATTGTGTATTAATAAGTTTTTTTTTTTCTTTATTAAGTCTGGGTTTATTTTAATCACAAACTTAAAAAAATTACTTGAATAATTTCATTACTTATTTTATTTATATATAAATGTTATATATAAATTATATATATATATATATAAATTACAATACATTTAACAATAATTTAATAAATTATACATTTTATAAAAATATATATATATATATATATATATATATATTGTTTTGTTGTTGTTTTTTTTACATTTTTAATTTTTAACTTGATGTACTAAACAAAAATTCATATAAAAAACTATTTTAAAAAACTAAAAAAAAAAAGTTAAAAATTTCAAATGTAATAAAATTTTAAATGAAAACAGCAGATATCTAAAATATTAATAAACTGCAACATTACTTCAGTGACACTAACATAGCACTGCATCCTTGCTGAATTTAAAATAACTCTTGACCCATTAAAACACTTCAAGAAACTTGCTAGTTTATTATTGTCATGAAGATACTAATACTAATACAGAATAAAATATGAAGAAAGTGTGTCACGACACGCATACTGTCTGGCAACTGGGTCAGTACACACATATAGCAGACATGATCTATTACATCGATTTTTGGCAGATGCCAAATTTATTGTGCGCAACCTTGTTGTGCGCAAACACACACACACGCCTACATATTCAAAGACACAAGGGTGTTTCATATTCTCACAGTAGAATCCATCATCATGCTCATGTTTCTCTGTGCTGATTGGCTGAAGTGGTTGTGAGGTCTCACCGTGGCTATTTAGTGTGATAATGGCGTTTGACAACACAGGACACAAACACCATTGTCACACTCCACAGCTCAGGAGGACGACAGACTGACACCTATTTTTTCACCTATGATAGCTGAACTTTTATTGAATCCCTCAGAATGAACTTATGAACAGTACTTAATGAACAAGACCTGTAAGTGTCACCCCGTTTTCACCCTTGTCTTTGGTTCAGCAGCTGGCTCTCGCTCTGGTCATGTGTACATGTTATCGATTCTCATCTTGTGTTTACATGTCTGTCAGCGGAGTGGATAGTGACGGGAACCGTGCAGATGGTCTCCTCTAAATGATTAGTTATGCCTTAGATCAGGAATCTTCAACAGACGGTTCTCCCATTATTGAGCTTTAAACATATTTGAGTGAAAATAACAAAAAGCAATCAAAACCACAGCTATGTTAGTCCAGATAAATGTTTTAGATTGGATTTTAATACCATGTGCAAATATATGACTGCAATGCCATTAAAATAGTACTGATGTACAATATAAGCATGAAGTATGTAAATATATTAATGTAGTACTTTTTAATACAGTACCTTAATATAAATCATGCTTAACAATTATATACGCATGTTTTTTAAACAGTAATATTGTGAACTATTATTACAATTTAAAAAAAATATTTTCTCTTTGAATGTATTTTAAAATGTATTTTATTCCTGTGATCAAAGCTGAATTTTCAGCATCATTCCTCCAGTCTTCAGTGTCACATGATCCTTCAGAAATCATTCTAATATACTGATTTGTTTCTCATGAAACATTTCTGATTATTCTGTTGAAAACAGTTGCTCTACTTGATTTAAAAAAATGCTTCTTTAAATTTAAATAAGACCAAGAATTATTGTTATTTTCTTGAATCTCAAGTCTTTTTGTGAATAAGTTAACTTACCACTTACCCTATTTGGTAAAGATGGCTGATCCACATGACCCTCCATGCTGTTGAAATACTGAGAGCACTAAAAGAGAAACGCATTTCACAAAACACTCTAAAACACAATATCCTTTATAACACACTCACACTCTCTCATAACCTCCCATCGTCTCTTCCAGAGATCCACAGACTGCAAGAAACTGAGAAACAAGTCCGGTCTCTGTCATGACTGCTCATTCTGCTCTCCTTTAACCTCCATATATGTACCTAGAGGGGGTTTAGTCAAACAGTTTTGTGATAAGCTTAGAGAAGTATTGATCGGCCTTGACGTGAGGACGAGGTCACTAACCCAAAACCTCGGAGTGCTTCAGAAAAAAACCTTTAAAAGCACCATTTCCTCTTAAAGGGGTCTTATAATGCTACATGCACTTTTACAAGTTGTTTGAACTGAAATGTGTGTTGGCAGTGTGTGTACACAACCACCCTAAAATGATAAAAATCCACCCAGTGTTTTTTTGTTAATCTACTAAAATCTTTACCCCTTTCTCAAATAGAGCCGATTTCAGATAAAATAATCCATGTGACATCAGTGGTTCATCCGCAATTATACGAAGCTACGAGAATACTTTTTGTGCGCAAAAATCAAAAGCGCAAACAACGTAGGAAACAGATCAGGCGTGACGCAGCTGACACAGAACAGCATATGTTGTTTACGTCCAGCTGATACTCTCCAAAATGGCACCAGGGTGATGCAGGGGAGACGAATTGTTGAATAAAGTCGTTTTTTTTCTTTTCTTTTGTGCACAAAAAGTATTCTCGTAGCTTTGTATAATTGCGTATGAACCACTGATGTCACATGGATTATTTTACAGATCTCCTTGCTATGTTTCTGGACTTGGGAACATTTCAGTTGCATTGCTGTATATGCAGGGTCAGACAGCTCTCAGATTCCATCAAAAATATCTTAATTTGTGTTCCGAAGATGAACGAAGGTCTTACGGGTTTGAAACGACATGAGGGTGAGTAATTAATGACAGAATTTTCATTTTTGGGTGAACTAACCCTTTAATGAACCTATGACACCTGCAACCATGAGAAGAATCATTAAGACACCTGTGAGATATAAATAGAGGTCAGACTACCCAAAATGCCTCTTTAAACATGGAATCAGTGATTAAAATATGGCTATAATGTTTTAAAAGCCCAGATATTTCACAATTGTGAAAAGATCCCCAATGTACTGAAACAATAGGAGTCTAAAGTTTCACAAATCGCTCACATAATCATACCTAATTTCCAAGAAGTGTTGATAAACAGTGTAGTGAATGGGTTTCCGCTGCTGCAGCTCATTCTGTGACATGATGTTGGGAGGTGCGGGTGAGTTTGACGTTGGACTTGTTTGTGATTGCAGAAAGAGAGCTCTTGATAAAGTGTACAGGCCGCTTTTATTTGCTTGTCCTTGGATCTGATAGCCATCCGATTTCATGTGTGAATGAACTGAGTTTCCTTCACTGCTCAGCAGAGCCTCGTGCCATGTGTTCAGCAACAAAAATGTACAAATGACCAGAAATGCGCAGGAAGCCAGAAATTTTTTTTACTATTGTAGTAGCATATTGTAGTATTACTATTGTATTGTAGTATTACTATTGCAACAAATGTATAATATTTTATTGCTGCACATTAAAATTACCTATAATTTACATAAAAATATACATTACATAAAATAATA